AACCAAACCAAACCAAACCAAACCAAACCAAACCAAACCAAACCAAAAAACTGACTTTAATGCTAAAACATAAAGCTAGTGGAGGCGTGAAAAACTAGGTACATTCATATACTGTTCTACATTGCCCCAGTGACTCTGGATGCCATCTTGCCCAAGTAGAAGCAGGTGGTTGATATTGTCTTCTTGTACTGTTATCCCCCACATTATCAGATAGAGCGATAGGAAATAATACAATCACAAGAATTTACTCTAAGAGCGTTATAGGTTACATGTTGAGTAATCTAGAAAATCATTGTCTATTTCCAGATGTACTCTGGAGATAAAGGCAGGATGATCAGAAGTTCAAGGTCATTCTCTGATATTTCATGGGTTCAAGGCCAGTCTGGTGTTTATGAGACTGTCTAAAACAAAAAGAAAAAAAGATAAAGGAATGGTAACAAATAAACTTTTTTTTAATTAAAAATACTTTGATAAAACTCATGCTTTTATCATGCATGTTTACATGTGTGCGTGGTGTATTTGTGAGTGTAGGTTTGTACATATATGTATGCATGCGTGCAAGTTTATGTGAGGCCAGAGGCCAATATCATGTCTTTCCTCACTTTTTAGCATTAGTTTTTGAGACAGGTCCCTCACATTTGTGTCTGTGAGATTGGTTAATAGCAATGAGACAGAAACCTGGTCCTTAAGATATGCAATGTAACATCCAGTAGCATAAAGTACATAACCATTTGCTTATTCCATTCACTAAGTTACTCAGTGCCCGCCAGGCGGTGGTGGCACACGCCTTTAATCCCAGCACTTGGGAGGCAGAGGCAGGAGGATTTCTGAGTTCGAGGCCAGCCTGGTCTACAGAGTGAGTTCCAGGACAGCCGGGCTATACAGAGAAACCCTGTCTCGAAAAACCAAAAAAAAGTTTCTCAGTGCTGGTTTGTTTGTTTTGTGAGACAAGGAAGGTCTTGTGTATTTCAGTATCCCATGCTGGCCTCAAACTCAATATGCAGTAAATAATGACTCAACCTTGCTTGGGGATCAAAGCCAGGGCTTCATGGGTGCTAGGCAAGCAGTTTTCCAACAGAGCTGTAGCCCCTCCCCCTATCAGTAAGCTTGTTAAAAACAGAGCCACCATGACCATTCTATCACAGGTATTCTGGAAAAGTGGAGTATGCACACCTTCAGAGTTGTAGGTAAATAGATATTTGGCTCAGAACACACTGTCAAAATTTCCCAAAGTTGTTATGCTACTTTGTAGCCTTTTTTTTTTACAATAAAAATATCATTTCAAAATTTTTATTTGTGTGTGTGTGTGTGTGTGTGTGTGTGTGTATACACATGTGCCCATGCCCCTGGAATATTCTAGGCCTAAACAACAACAAAAAGTTTATGCAAGTATAATTCAAGGAGGGGGCCAGGTTCCAGCCCCAGCAGGCAGCAGAACTTGGCCAGCTTGAGCCACAGGCTTCTGGATTTAGAGTCAAGAAGAATAAAGGAAACAGGCTGTGGAATCTTGCTTCATGGTTAAGGAAAGCAGCTAGGGCCAGGTATATATCAGGGGATTCTCTGCATGGAGGCCTGGAAAGGCCATTGTGTAGAGTTGTGAAGGCAATGCCTAGATTGTATTGGAGACCCAAGATGTTGAAGATGCCAGAGCCATGGGCTACCCGCCAAGGGAAGCTGCTAATAGGGAATGGAAGCAGCCCAAGAGAGAGAAGTGTGCTATATGAGAGGAGGTGGAGATCTGAAAAGTGCTTTGACATCAGACACGGAGATGCAGAGTTTGTTGTTTGTGCTGCTGGATTTGTTCTTCCTCTGGCTCAGTA